AGTCGGCGGAAGATGATAGGATAGCAAACCAGGCTCTCCCATGGGCATATAGCAGAAGGTATCAGGTAGCTTACGGTTTCAATTAAGTCAAAGATCCAGAAGAAGCAGCAAAGCGCTGCCGTACAACTCCGTCAAGTCCTTCAGTCAGCTTAAAGCTGTTGCTTTAGTCACAAACCTTCGTGACCCAAAAACACCACTTTCTTAAACTCTATGAACCAAACACCCATTACCCTGAAGTTAACCGACGCCGTGACGAAAATCAGCGTCAGTCGAAGCTTTCGTCTATGTGTATACGAAAAAAGCGTCACGCTATAATGGAAAAACAACGATTGTCTGGAGTGTTCTACAGCCTAAACCGTTTGTCAGGACACATCTAGACCGCAATATACGCTGCAACATCGCCTGTTTAACAAACTTTTAATACGGCAACAGGTTTATTAGTATTGTGGAAAGAACAGATTCTCTTTGAACGCAAATCTGAAACTAAATTTTCAGTTCATGTTCATATCGGCTTTTAAATCGACGTTTGCCGTTAGGCAATTCGCCTCCTCCCCACCCCCGCCGAAGAGCAGTTCACGAACTAAACTACATTCTCAAGCACGTTGCTACCTTGATTAAACACTTATCTAATTCTTAACTGCTAATCTTTATATCTGATGAGAATACCTGTTACCGTTCTGAAACGTAACATCAGTTGTTACATGATCATGCCATTGAAACCTCACCTCACCTTCACTGAGGCACGTGAGACCGCGCAAAATATGAAGATTACGGAACGAAGGGGGATAGACATAAACTTCTATACTTTAGCATTCAAAGTAAAATGGCCATACTTTACACATTCACCTACCGGTAAGCAACAATGACACCAAAACACGCAGCTGGCAGCAAACTCTGTACTCTAACGATGCGGGAAATCGTAAACGGTAAAGAAAATGTTGCAAAAAATTGTATGGCGTCGGAGAACAGATGTCCCACTTGAGGCGATTCAGAATTAATAACTCCCAGCTCTGAAAAAAAACAAAAATTATAAAAAAATTACACACTGCTTCACTCCGAGTGTACTCACCAATAGCTGAGGCAACGTGACCGCGTTCGCCGTGTACTGAATCAGCCGGGTGGCCACCAATGGCTGGACGTCTACGATCTTGCTGGCCAAAAACATGCACGCAGTGCCCAACACCTGCAGCTGAGTCTTGTGCACCGCCTCAATCGATAGGAACCGGTCCAAGTATGAAACGGAAAGTGGAAACACTTCGTAACCACATTTCTCTTCCTCGCAGACCTGCAACGAAATGAAGCATGAATGGGCTCAAGATTAACTGACAATAAATAATTTCTCCTGTTAACATGTAAAAAAGGGCGCCGGTACATAACCTGCCATATGCAGTGACAGGAATAAGTGGTTTTCAGGTTTAGTAGTACACGCAAATTCCTACAATCACGCACACTTGAATATGACCAGAATTCTATGGGTATCGAAAGTGTTTGCTCGATAATGAACGAAGCAATGGAAAACAAGGAATGAAAAGATCGCATCCGCTGACTAGGAACGATAATGTCATGGCTGCCAAAAGATCTAAAACCAATAATATTCTAAACTTCCTACACACTGTTTTTCGACAAGAACTTAAACCTGTTAAACGCACCTTTAAGACCAACTGTAACATGTCCAAAGAAATTTCAATAATGATAAGCAATCATAAGATATTAATCAAAGCAGATAGTAAAAAGATGCAGACGATCCATCAGCCTCCTAAAGCTGCTACACCCGCAATCCGAAGTTAATGTGGTCGATAAAAATAAGTCGCATCCATATTTTTCATTTCAGGGCATATAGCGATGCGGCTCTAAAATCTGAATGACTTCAAGCCTCATTCCTAAAACAGTTTTGGAATGTCTCTACGGCAGAGTATACAAATAATAAAGCTGTAGAGTATTCAGAACTGCGGATTAACTTCATTTCGACCCATTACTCGCTCAAGTTGAAAGTTCGCCATTAACTTAATGTAATTTTTATTCTACAGTTGCTTTATATCTACTTCTTCAATAACAAAAACATCCTTCTGTGCAAAATAATCGCTTGCCGTTCAGTCTATGCTGATGTTTACGCTTCAGACACAGAGGTCACTATCACGGGCACATAAAAACAATATAAAAAAGAAAGGTAGCGGAGTATTAAGTAAGACAGAGATGAATGAGAGCTAAAAAAGAAGAAACATTCGTTTACACACCGATACTCGTTCCATCAATTTTCATCTCCATCAGTGTTCATTCAAATTGTTTTAATTCTAATACTACGAACTGGTCCATAAAAACGAAAGTTAAACAGAAAGAAGAGTATATAAACTTATATCCATCAGTTAACGATATTTGCTTCTGATCCATGGTTCAAAACAATAATCAAAAGAACGACACAAAATCCGCTTCTAAAGAGATATAAGAATTTTACAGTAAAAATAATGATACGGGATTCATCGGCGAACGCGCAGTGTAAAGAAAGAAAAAAACAGAACACTGGGGTTTCATTCTGTTACTTTTTCTCCTACGGATCGTGACAGTGTATCTTATTCGAGACGCGATCCTGTGCCCTATATACTGCAGGCGCTTAAATACCATTGAGCCGTTGGCTGCTTAAATCGCCCCTTAGGCGTCTAGCAGCAAGGCGACGGTGCAATCAGCAGAAAATAATTTTTCTTTCTTTACACTGCGCATTCGTCGTTTGAATCCAGTATCATCATGATTTTTACTGTGATATATTCCGCGAGCGGTATCGATACTCCCCAGAACATCGGGGATTCCACTCTATAAGGATTTTACATCATCGTTTTTAAATTTCACCTTGAACCATCAGTCAGAAAGCAAAGATCATGACTTGCTTATAATAGGCAACGAATTGACGCCCACCTTCCATGCCTGTTCGAATTTATGCCTACTACACGCAACTAATACTTATTATTTACACTACTTCTGTATTTTCTCATCTTAATCGTGCTACATTGTTAATTATTCAGTTCCAAAAGTACACAGGGTGTTAATGATGTTCTCAGTGATAACAGAATAAGAGACGGTTACAAAGCTAAAAAAGGCATATTCAATAAAGTTGTCGGAGGCCACAAAGATGTTCCTTTTCCGGTACATATTAAAAATTTAGAGGGAATATAGTAGAATACGTGAAATACTGAAAGGAATTCCGAAATCTCCACTTAGTAATCATTTTTAAGGCTTCCAGCCATTTCCTTGTTAATGTTAACTGTTATGAACGAATGTTCTTGATTATGACTTGTGTGCCCAAAGTCTAAACTTCCGAGTAAATTAACAGAGGTTAAGAGAAAGACGGTTAAAAGCCTGAAAAAAATATTTTATAAGTAAAGCTTTCGGCGGCCACAATGGTGTTTGTTCTATAGTACAAACTATTAATGAACAAAGAAGATATATTAGCAAACAGACAACAGGTATGTGATAAAAGCGCTGTGACTACGATATTTAAGATTTTACAATATTTAATAAGGAAGAAACAAGCGCAAGAAAGAAAAGGATATGAAATGAGAAACTGCGCAGATAAATTAAAAAGTAAACGTAAATAAATAAAAGTTACATAGCAGAAATTAATTTATTTAAGATGAGGCAGAAACTGGATGAAAGCTATTTAAAGCTTGATTCATGGTTTACATAGGCTCCATGAAACACTTGAAGGAGGATGATTCGCCTATCATCAGCCTGGCATGAGTGATGCTACTACCTCAGATCACGTGTTTTTTTTGCTAACATGGTTTAGACTGTCAACAGCATGCTACACAATAGTATAATGTTCTTCATATTAATGCTCGAACATTTCCTTTTACCATATCGATGTAAACCATGAACAACGTTTACAATCCATTTTATAAACAGCTCGGTTTTTTAGTCTTCATGTATAAATTGTTCGCCATACACCGTTATCTACGATGATGCCTTTTCTACAGATAACTTGTAAATCTACCTTAATATGATAGCAATGGCGGAGTGGAAATAAATGCAAAATTAAAAAACGTATAAATCATGTCTCAGCTAAACTGAGATGGAAAGTGAAGAGTATAACTTCGATAAAAGAGACGTTGTTGGAAAAACAATGATATTTTTAAAGATATATGAAAGGTTTTGAATTTCAGAAGTACATTCCGATGGATGACTGCAATAAGACATCGCTCTTCCACGATCTTCGTATCTTGACTACAGACTTCAAACCATATTTTTCTATTGTGATATCATCACAGCATCCTGCTATTACATTATTTAGCAAGTGAAAGCAATAAGCAAAATTATATTGCGCCAAAAGTCGCAGGACAAAGGTATGCATATGTTAGATGTCGATGGCACATACAAAACAGAACGTCCCAAGATAATTTATTCGCCTTTCTAGGTGTCTAAATGTCGAAACACTTTCGTAACTAAAATTCTCGATTATCTATAATTTTTTTTAATACAAATTTTCATCTCATTGATCAATGGAAGTTGCAAAACTGGGGTAAAAGCACAAAAATACATAAATATTCGGTTGTTTGTCACTTTCAGTGACCGACAGTGGTACGTCAATCAACGACAAATGTCGTGTCAGTCGATTTTATGCTTCGTGGATTCCATTGTGTCGATCGGCGACCGCACAGGTTGATGTTTAATTAAGAACTAGCGACAAAAGGCTGTTGTCTGAGACAAACGTCGCTTTCGAGATGAGGGGGTATTCATAGACATAGAGTCGTTTGGTGTGCAAAGTAGTAAACTATCCGTCATAATCCTTAGTTCGGTGATTACCGACGAGTCCTTGTTATTCTGAGTCTTAACGATGACGAGCTCTTAATGAGGCGTCATTCCTCACAGAACAAATTACACAAGCAATTATCGATTCAGAGGAATGTTGTCAACACGCAAATTAAGGAATGCGTTTGGCTTAATTTATTACTTAAAATTCATTATTCAAACTATGTGAAGGATGCTGGTTTCCATTTTCTGATATCATCAGTCAAACACTGCCTCTTTCATTCGTCCTACGCATAAGCGCTATGCCTCATTCGAAAGGGGGAGTAAGTACGTTGCCCTTTCTCTTCAGCATTTTTAGAGATCCGAAACGCCATAATCGCTTGAAGGTGAATGAATGAATAAATTCTACTGCTTAAGCATAAGGAAAATGACATTTCTTTCAGCACAACAAAACAAACACAGATTCTATATAGCTTTAACGAAGACGGGAAGTGACCAAGGACATTGTTATCGCGATGTTATAGTTTGTGTTGCACAAGGTCACATACGCAACTGATACTGCTCATACGAAGAACCGACATAAAAAATAGCGAAAATATATCACCATTCCAAACGGGAATTAACATGAACGGTCAATCTCGATCATTCGGTCTGCGGTATATTGGAAATCGATACAACAAAGAGCTGCAGTGTGCTCTGTAAGGCAGAAAAATACGTTGACAAGACTGTTCCATGGTTAACATGTGATAAACATCTCATGGAGAAGCTGCATCGACAAAAGTTTGCATCTCCTAAATGTCTAAGTTGGGAGTTATGGCAAGCAATAACTGAATTACCCAGTGAAGTGCCTTGAATGTAGATCAGCCCTCTGATGGTCGACTAATAGCTGAAACAA